ACCTGCCCCCCGCCCTCGCCCCTCGGGTCTCCCTCGCGCCTCCTTCCCGGCCCCGAGAAGGACCCTCCGCCTCCTTCCGTCGACGTCCGACGGCCTCTCTCCCGCGTCGACGGCCCTCTCTCCCGCGTCCCGGACGGCCCCTCTCCCGCGTCGACGGACGGCGTCGACGGAACGCCCCTCTCCCGCGTCGGATCCGACGGACGGCCCTCTCCCGCGTTCTCTCCCGCGTCCGACGGACGGCCCCTCTCCCGCGTCGACGGACGGCCCCTCTCCCGCGTCCGACGGACGGCCCTCTCCCGCGCGACGGACCTCTCCTCCTCTCCGCGTCCGACGGCCCTCTCTCCCGGTCCGACGGACGGCCCCTCTCGCGTCGCGACGGCCCTCTCCCGCGGAACGGCCGCTCTCCCGCGTCCGACGGACGGCCCCTCTCCCCGCGTCCGACGGAACGGACGGCCCCTCTCCCGCGTCCGACGGACGGCCCTCTCCCGCGTCCCGGACGGCCCCTCTCGTCGACGGACGCGACGTCCCCCTCCCGCGTCCGACGGACGGCCCCCTCCCGCGTCCGACGGACGGCCCCTCTCCCGGCGTCCGACGGACCTCTCCCGCGTCCGACGGACGGCCCCTCTCCCGCGTCCGACGGCCCTCTCGCGTCCGACGGCGGCTGCAGTCTGCCTCCGTGGCGGGGAGGTGGCGGCTGCGCGGTGTATTTGTCGTCAGAGGGAGGTTCCGCTGTATCCTTGGTGGCCAGGGAGAGCGGGTTGCACTGTAGTTTTCGCCGTCAGGAAGTAGCACTGTATTCTTCGTGATAAGGGAGAGCGGGTTCACTGTATCCTTCGAGGTCAGGGAGAGAGATTTCACTGTATCTCTCGTCGTCAGAAGGAGATTGCACTGCTTCGTGAGGGAGAGCGGGTTCACTGTATCCTTGTGGCCAGGAGAGCGGGTTACACTGTAGCTTCGCCGTCAGGAAGTAGCACTGTATCCTTCGAGGTCAGGGAGAGAGAGCGCACTGTAGCTCTCGTCGTCAGAAGCAGGTTGCGCTGTCTCTTTTGCTTTCAGAAAGAGATCGCACTGTATCCCCCGCGGCCAGAGAGAGCGGGTGCACTGTATCATTCGTCGTCAAAGGGCGGCCTCTCCTCCCTCTCTCGCGGCCAGAGGACGGCCCCTCCCATCCTTTCCCCTCGCCCCTCCCTCTCTCCCTTCCCTCCGTGGCCAGAAAGAGGCCTCCGTCCCTCCCCCTCCCTCCCTCCTTGGCCAGAAAACGCCCTCCCTTCCTTCCCCCCCCCTCCCCCCCCCTCCGTGGTCACCTCGCATGAAAACCGGTAGCCGAGAGGGGGGCGCAGGCCGTGTCCCCTCCCCCCCCCTCCTCCTCCCTCGGCTTGGCTCCTCCCTCCCTCCTTCGGCCGAGACCGCGAATATGCAGATGACTTTGCGGGCCCAGTCGTCGGCAGGGCGGGCGGGGAATCGGCTCTCTCTCTTGTTCTCTGTCAGTCTGTCTGTCACACTCTCTCTCTCTCTCTCTCTTCTTTCGATCTTTCCTTCTCATTCTTTGTTTGTCTGTCTCTATCTTTCTCTCTCTCTTTTACTTCCGCCTTCCTTTCCTCCTCAACCTTCTTATTCTTCTCCATCTTCTTCTCTTCCTCCTCTTTCTTTCTTGCCAGTAGGAGGCGGTCGCGGCCAGTGTGTGTGTGTGTGTGCGTGTGTGTGTGAGACCTAAGTGGTGTACATGCATTCTTGATTCTCAGAATGAAGCGACCGCAAAGGGATTTAAGTTATCGTTTTTTTTCTCTTTTTTTTTGTCTTCTCTGATTTTTTTCCTAATTGTACCGCCCTCTCCTTTCTCCTTTCTCTCGGGTAGTTTGTTTGTCTGTCTGTCTTTCTCTTTTTTCTCCTTTCTTTCCTTTTTGCCTCTCTCTCTCTCTCTCTTTCTATCGAGCTTCACATAAAAGACACCAATGATTTTATTCATACTGTTTCTTTCGTGAAAATAAACCGTTAATGTCGACACCGCTTCTAAATGCATAATGAAGACCTTGCAACTCCTGTTGAGTAGCCACTGGAGAGGTCCTGCCAGAGGAGTACACGAACGTTAGACTCCCCAGGACGCGAGAACACAGGCAAGCAAGCAGTCAGACAGCGATAGTCCAGCCCGGAGTCCGAGAGTCCGAGAGACAGGCAGACGGCCAGTCAGTCGGACAGTCAGACAGCGAACACAAGGGAGAGACAGACAGCAACTTCAGACGATGATCCATCAGTCGACTAACCTCCAGTGCCTTTAATTGACGCCGCAATATGCAAATGGCGGCGGGAGCGGTGTCCGTACCTGGTTAAGACACAGGTACACGGCGCGGTATTCAGGGCCCCGAGACAACGAGATGGAGCACCCCCGGCGATCCCCCTCCCCCCCCTCCTCCCGCATCCCCCGGGCCTGACACACGAAGCAACGGATAGTGATGAATGGCCCCCGTGGGTGACAGGGGCGCAAAACGGCCGCGGAAGTGCCTCGTCGCCCAGTGCTTGCTCCTCCTTTCTCGCTGCTCGCCGGCTGCAGCGCGCGGGTCCCGGCCGCGAGGAGGCGATCCGCCGGCGGGGACTCCAGCTGAACGCCCGCCGGAGCCAGCCTGGAAGTTGCGGCAATAACTTGTGCTACAGTTGCGGGCGCGAGCAAGGCTGGCGGAGGCGCTGAGGAGCGACACGCCCCCGGAGCACGACGGCGACTGAGAGCACCGCGCGACGGACGAGCCGACAGGTACATAAACCTCGCATCAAAGAGCCCCGTGCACAGCCAAGTAGAGTCGACAGAATCGATTGCTCTCTGAGATATGCAGAGGTGTGAAGCATCTCCATAGAGCCATAGAGGGCTGTATAACACACGGGCATCTCTGTCAGTTTAGGAGCATCCTTATAGAACTATATAGAGCAAGAATAGAACCCCGACATCTCTGCAAGATTAGGCATATGCCCGCAGAGCTACATAGAGCCCGAATACTTCTACAAGCTCAGAACTATCTCTGTCGGGCCATGGAGAGCCGTATAGAGTATCTCTGTAGGCTCAAGGCATCTTCATAGAGCTCCACAGAGCCTCTGACTTCCCCGCAAGCCCAGAAACGCGCCCATAGAGGCAAATGTCATAGAGCTCGCGACACCTCAGCAAGCCCAAAGCCCCACAGAGCCTCTCAGACCTCCGCCCAGTTCCACCCAGCTCGAAACCCTCCCCCTTAGAGCCATACAGAGCCATATAGAGCCACGGGAGCCTCGCGCAGGTAGGTAGGAAGGCTGCGGGCGGTATAGGTAGCCGTCCCTCGGTAACTCAACCGATATTTTGAGTCATTATTTAAATTCGAGCGGCAAAAACTGGACCCCGATGCCGTCGATACTTTCAAAATGGCACGAGAGGAACCGTGTGAATGTGCTTTATATAGCGAGGTGGTTCGTCCTCCCCGTGATTTAGAGGCGCCCCGAACGCTGCATAATAGAGTGGAAGGGGGGGGGGGGAGGGGGAGCCGTCGTTGTTTAGATAGATAGAACAATATTTCAAAAACTTGTCGAGACTATGTATATGTAAGAGTTGTCGCATGTGGGTTGGACGCGAGAGAAAATGTTTGAGTGCTGAGGCCGCGGGGAAGGCGCCGTGTTGTGTGTGCGTTCGTGTGTGTGTTTATTCGCCTGTGTGTGTGTGTGTGTGTGTGTGTGTGTGCGTGTGTGTGTTTTATTCGCCTGTGTGTGTGTGTGTTGTTGTGTGTGTGTGTGTGTGCGTGTGTGTGTTTTTGTGTGTGTGTGTGTGTGTGTTCGTGTGTGTGTTTATTCGCCAGTGTGTGTGTGTGTGTGGTGTGCGTGTGTGTGATTGTGTGTGTGTGTGTGTGTGTGGTGTGTGTGTGTGTGTTATTCGCCATGTGTGTGTGTGTGTGTGTTTATTCGCCAGTGTGTGTGGTGTGTGTGTGTGGTGTGTGTGTCGGTTCTAGATATTGTAGTCTCTCTCTCTCTTATGATGAGGTTTTTGTTTCTTTCTGTTGTTCTTATTCTCTGTCTTTTTTATCTTTGACAGGTTATATGTATATTTCTAACTTTTTTATGCACATATGCTTTTATATCTCTATATACCTTTGTAGTTTACTCTCTCTCTACATATATATATATATATATATATATATATATATATATATATATATATAATATATATATATATATATATATATATATATATATATGTGCATATGTATGTACATGTATGTATATATATATATATATATATATATATATATATATATATATATATATATATATATATATATATATATATATATATATATATATATATATAATATATATATATATTATATATATATATATATGTATGTGTGTGTGTGTGTGTGTGTGTGTGT